AGGTCCGCGCTGTTTAAGGCATGAACCACCTCCACTCGCCCGAACGCTGGGATCGCGTGTTCGAATCTCACTTGAGGCATTGATGTCTGTGTGTGCTTTTATTCTGTGTTTGTGATGTTCTGTGTGTAGGTAGTGACCTTGCGACAGGCTGATCTCCCGTCCAAGGAGTCCTACCGACTGTGTATAGCATTAAGAAACTAACACCCAAGGTCCAAACGGCTGTAAGGCCATAGAGAGAGGGGGGTCGGTACAGGAAGTGTGTGAACTTAGATAAAATTCAGTTTCAATTGTCGTTTAAATCAGCCAGAACATAACGAAGACTCGGAAACGAACGTTGACAGTGTTTGTTTATTCAAGAGTGATTTAAGTGCTTAGTTGTTCGTAAGGTTTGCCTCTTGTTATTATTCTAGGATACGGAAATGCATAGCATGGTTAGGTTGGTACCAGAATTTCGAAGGAATCTTCCGCCCCCGGTCTTCAGGGTAGAAAATGAAGGCATTATGTTCTTACTAAAAGTTGTTAGTCACCTACCAGAACTCACGGTTTCAGATCTCTGTATCTTAAAAGACTTGGTGTCTGATATTAAGGGAGGAACATAGACTGACGGTGTTTGAGAACAGGGTGTTGAGGAGACTATTTATACTGAAGAGGGGCGAAGTGGCGGGAAGTTGGAGAAAGCTGCATAACGAGGAGCTTCATAACCTGTACTCTTCTCCGAGTATAATTATAATGATCAAGTCAAGGAGGAAGAGGTGGATAGGTTATGTAGCACGAATGGGGGCGAGTAGGAACGCATGTAGGCTTTTGGTGGGAAAGCCAGAAATAAATAGACTGCTAGGAGGACATAAACATAGGTGGGAGGATAATATTAAAATGGATGTTAGATAAGATGGGATGGTTTGGATTGGATTCATCTGGCTCAGAATAGAGACCAGTGGAGGGCTCTTGTGAACACGACAATGAAGCTTCGGGTTCGATAAAGTTTTGGGAAATTCTTGAGTAGCTGAGTGCCGGATTCTCAAGATGGGCTCAGCTTCATGGAGTTATTTATATCGCAGAAGAATTAACTGAACATTCCGAAACTTCTGCGTAGAAACTTGCAGAGCTTAAATATTCAGTATCAGCCCGATGGAAGGTACGGGTTTTGAAGGCCATGGGTTCGTGTCTGACTGTAATGTTGTTTTATGTCATGCTTTGTTAAACGGCCCTTAATTCACTAGCTACGCAGATGTATGGGTGTAAAACCTTGTCCCTTAACACTAACCTTTAACGAACTAATTTTGTAATACAGGGTATTTCTTGAGCAGTTGAAGAAAATTAGTCGTTATGAATGACTCTGGGTTTCTTCATAACTGCGAAACTGTTCGGTAATGGTTAATAATTACGGTTGGAATTTCAGTTCTGTTAATAAAAGAATGTTTCACAATAGCGGACACCAAAAAAACAATATTTCGAAAACGTGACAATTTGTAATTTTGATCTTTATAATGGTTTGTGAATTTGTAGGGTTTGAGGTTCTCACAGCGGCGGTTATGAAGAGTACTATCTTCTGGGACATGACGCCATGTAGTCCGTTCAAAGTCAACCGACGTTTCGGAAGAACATCACCTCCATATTCAGGATCGAAGAATAAACAAGTAGAGCTCTTCGTGCAACCTGTTTTCACGCTGGTTTCATTCTCGGCTTATTCTTCGACCCTGAAGATGGATGCGATATGTTTCTCCGAAACGTCCCTGAAGATGGTTGCGATATGTTTCTCCGAAACGTCGGTTGACTTTCAACGGACTACATGGCGTCATGTCCCAGAAGATAATGCTGTTTAGTTTGGAAATCGATGTGTGTGGGGGGGGGGGAACTTGAGTACGTGGAATGCTTTAAGAACGAGCAGACGTTTGACAACTCGAAAAGTAATGTTTTTCTTACGTTTCTGAACTAACTGATTCCATGAGCCTTTCTTGAGAAGCCTCCACTTGTGCAGCTACTCAAGAATTTCCAAATATTTTATGGAAGCCAAAGGTTCATTACCGTGTTCACAAGATGCCTCCACTGGTCCTTATCCTGAGCCAGGTCAGTCCAGTCTACACCACACCGTCCTATCTCTCTAAGATCAATTTTAATATTATCCACCTACCTACGTCTTGGTTCATCTAGTGGTATCTTTCCTTCAGGATTTGCCACCAATATCCTATATGTATTTCTCTTCTCACCCATTCGTGCTACGATACATGCACTCACTGATACGTAACGCAACATGTTGATATGACATGGTTCATTTTATGATATAGGTTTGACATGCTTTACCGCAAAGCGTTTCATTCAAAAAGCGACCTAATGGAATTGATGACGGTGCAGAATTGAATTGTAAATTGGTCAGTATTGTGGTGAAAGTGCAACTTGTGTATACGGAAGCACGCCATTTGCATGGTATAAGTAACAAAACAGTCCTAGCCATGTTGTATGGATTGAACTTTATATTGAGGCCCTATTATAAATGTGTTTGTCTGCGAAGTAGATAAAATATTGCCTTTCTTACAATAAAGAAAAACAACGTTTGTTAGCAAATGGAACCCAGTAGTTTCTAAAGGGTTCTGACGATGGTGGATGACACACAGAATTACTGGGTTTTTGGACATTTTCCATCGTCCGGAATTCTAGGTAATAGAGAACACGACGTTTCAGAAACTGGGTCTGTTTCCGTCTTCAGGTGAGAAAGGAAGACACGAAATCAGTTTGGCCCCGTAGAAAGAGCTAATCTCAGGTTCAGTGATTGAGATTAGCTGTTTCTAAGGGGCCAAACGGATTAGGTGTCTTCCTTTCTCACCTGAAGACGGAAACAGATCCAGTTTCCGAAACGCCGTGTCCTCTATTATCTAGAGTGTCCACTGTTACCTAGAATTCCGGACGATGGAAAAAGTAAATAAAAAAAAACAAAAAAAAGCAGTAAATGGAATCCTGTTAGTTACAGAGATGTTTGATGGCTTTTTCTTTATTTTTAAAACTTTTAACGGAATGTTTTTGCGATGAAGTAGCGAATTGCTGTACGTTCTTTGTAACAAGATACCGCTTTCAATTCTTCCATCCTTGCTATCAAGATCCTTAAAAGTATGCTCTGTGAATTTATAGGTTATGTACTTACAGAATCACGGCTTGTTAAGGCACAGCGTGAAGATACAGATGTAGTTGAGAAGTTGGCGTTTATTAGAGCTCAAACTACTTCGTGTGTGGTTACATGATACAGAGTCTTTGGGTTTCTGTTTAATTGTCGTAACAGTGTAAATGTTAGCAGAACAAAACTCCCTTTTCCCTTTGTGTCATTTCTCTCTTTGTGTTCTTTCTTGCTCTCTTTCTATTCCTTTAATATCTGTTTTTCAATTGTTATTTTCTTTCCTTCATTCAGATTTCTGTACTCAGACTAGACAAATGCAGTCACTTCCTTATGCTTTCACACTGGCTTTTACGCTTTATGATTTCCGACTTAAAATTTTCTTCATCCCTTCTGATAATTTAATTAAATTTTGTATTCCATGGCAATCCGAAAGAAAGTAGTGTGTTAACGTCTGGAGGTCGTTGAAGTAGGCCTACGTGTTAATGGGGCCTATGGTAGCGTAGTTGGTTGAGGCACTATGCTACAAGCCGGAAGGTCTCGGGTTCCTGATGAGGTCATCGGATACAATTAACCTAATCCTTCCAGCCGCACTAAGGCCCTAGGGTCGACTCAGCCTCTAACAGAAATGAATACCTAGAATCTTCCGGGGGGGTAAAAGGCGGCCAGCGCGTAAAGCTGACAACCTTACCGCCATCTATGAGCCGATTGTCTAGAGAAAATGTTGGAGCCTCAACGTCTCACAATCCTATGGGCCTGCACGACCTGTTATCTTTTTTTTTTTTTTTACGTTTCATACACAGCAACCCGCCCTTCAGCCATATTCTGAGCTATTTTAATCAAGTTTACATCCCCCGAAAACTTTTTTGTTTCCTTATTGAAATTTTAAACGCATTTCTTTTGTACCAAACCCAACTTAAGATGGAGACTGTCATTATCCCTGTCATTATGATAGCCGAGCATGGAAATCGCGCCCTCTCTCTCTCTCATTTTGCCTACACTTTGGAGCATAGGGCATCCATGAAACGCTTTGTTTCACCTCAGTCGGTACGCCTCCTTGGACGGGGGTTCAGCCCGTCGCAAGGCCGCTACCTACGCAAACACAGGGTAAACGCAGACAGACATCCATGCCTTGAGTGGGATTCGAGCCCACGACCTCAGCGTTCGGGCGAGCGAAGACAGTTCATGCCTTAGACCGCGCGGCCACTGTGATCGGTGCATAGCAATATGAATTATGCTTTCTTTCATCCTGTTGAGTTATGGTGTTCTCTTCACAGTTCATTTTATGACAGCTTCATCGTGAATGACGGAACCGTTTTCTTCATTCAGTGAGTTTGTGTTTTATTTACCTACCACATGATGATGATCTTTATAGCCGAAACCCATAGTGGGAAAGACTAACATCAATAAAAATTAATATTGACTCTTTTTATAACGTATATATTTATTTTATTAAACTCATTAATAAACTGTTGTGTAGACGACCAACTTATACTTTGTTAATTATGAGTTTTATAATGCTATGCTGGACAGCACAGCCGAACTCTTTCTCTCTCTCTCTCTCTGTGACTACAGCCCTTTGGACGATGGCCGTTTGTTCAGTTTCTTAATCCTATACAGTCGGTAGGACTCCTTGGACGGGGGATCAGCTCATCGCAAGACCTCCAACTACACACAGAATAAACGCACACAAACATCCATGCCTTGAGTGGGATTCGAACCCACGATCCCAGTGTTCGAGTAGAAGAAGACGGTTCGTACCACTGTGGTCGACCACAACCGAACTCTGTAATGCGAAAATATGTTTCTTTGTGCTCCTTTAACGTTATGCAACGGAGGTGAAAGCATGCTTAACTTTTTAAAGAGCTGCGAGATTTTAATTACGTCTTTCTTTCAGATGGCCAGGTGCTGGTCCCTCTGACATGAGCTGTGTTGCTGGATGGATTTAAGGTAAAGCAATGTTTGTTGCCTGACTCCAACAAAATATACTGGGATTCAGTAAAGAAGCTTTGTTTGTTTACATGGCTACTCTCAGATTTGAAATTCGCATGTTCTAATTCAAGAGCTTGCAGCTGGGATAGGGCAGTCACTGTAGTGACAGAGCTATGACACTAGGAAGAGCAGGGATCTTGTCTCTTCGCTACTGCTTTCTCACCGGGGTTTCTTCTTCTAGGTTAACCTGACCACTAGTCTCCATCTAGGACAGAACTTAATACTTGAAGCTATGCTTCCATTCCCCCATACGTCTTTATAGCCCGAGCAGGTTGGTGTAGCGGTAACAGTGACTGTTTCCCTAAACAGCGTTAGTAGCGGAGACGTAATATGTTTCCTTTGAGGTACGAACTGAATTTTTGTTTTATACACAGTATATAGTGCAGAATCCCGCGTGGAGGCGGGGTCGAACACCTCCACCTTAGCTCTGCGCGTCGTAGGGGGCGAAGAAAAGGGAAGTCTTGAATCTGAGACAGTAAAAACGACAGACCCGTCCTCTCGTCACAGAGAGCGCCCCACATCAATAAACCCGAACTGTCTGACTAATAAGAATTTGACCTTAAGCCCCAGATGGGTGCTTTGTTCCAAGAGAGACTGGCCGACTGACCGTTGTTCGTATCATAAGACTCGAGACTACACAGTGCAATGGCCTTATACTACAATAGCCCGTAGATCTAACGGTGTACTCACTGATTGTGGAGTCAAATAGGAATAAATCAGCTAGAGGAAGAATGCGAATGCTGGTTCTCCGTCGAAACTGTATTTGACAAGCTGACAGTAAGTACACAGTAATAAGTTCAGCGTGGCGTTCACAAATGTTACAAACGCATGACTGTTTGTAATGCCATTTGCAGTCTACTTACGCGCGGAATGTGTAATGCTTGATTATAACGCCGTCGGTACAGCTACTAGCAACGGTTTGGACGACTGAGGGGTCGGAGTTCGAGTTCCGGTAAAGGCAAGAATTTTGTTTTCTCCGCAGCGTCCAGACGGGCTCTGGGGCCCAATCAGTCTCCTGTTCAGTAGGTACCGGCATTCTTTCCCCGAGGGTAAGGCGGCCGGGTCGTGGATTTGTGTAGTCACTCCCCCATACACCTTCATGGCGTGGTGCTTAATTAGTTCGGCACAGATACAATTATATCTTATACCTTACAGCAGTGACTGACGCGTGTTTCCTTCTTGTCTTGTCTTTTCGTGCCGTTATGTAATTGTAAAGGACGTTTCGTTCAACCTTCGCATGTCTGTTGTCATTGCTATCCGATGTATTACGTAAAAATGTAACTGTTCTGTTTCGTCTGCTTCCTGTTTCCTACCGCGGACCTAAGAAAGAACACCGAAAGATATTGTCACGATTTTATATTCGCATTATGATGTACGATAATTTACTGTATCATAGCCTTTTTTTTTTAACTATAAACCGATGGCTGTTCTCAACCATCTGCATCGAGGGGCCATCGTTGAACGCTCAATCCATTGGAAACACGTGTTTTTTGGAGGTTTTATTTTACGACGCTGTTGGTATTGAGTCGTAAGATAATTGGTGAATAATGAATTGAAAAGAATTTAGGAAGAAGCTGTCGTGGTGTGATCGAGGTACTATCCCGGTGCTTGCTTGGAGGGACTGAGGAAAATAATGAAAAATCCCATGATGGCTGTGTTTTTCGACTGATATTGTAACCGAACAAGAGTAGAGCGTTACCTCTACATTGAGCTGCTCGGTACATGGACCTGTTGCTTATATTGTGACATGACGCCCGAAAGCCGGAATAGCGAAATCGGAATAGACGTTCATTGCTAGACAGCGACTCTGTAAACACATTCCCGCTGCAGCAGATACGAAAGCAACAATCGAATAACTTTGGTTGCTATGCAACGGCGGTGTGAACACGTGTGTTTTCTGCGTAGTCCCTGTAAAGTGGTTATAAAGAAGAGCTCATTTGAGGCCGCACAGTGAAGTGAGGAGTCGCGTTTCGAGACGGCGGCCTGCCGGGATATGAGCTTGGGAGCAGAGGAACTGAATTGAGTTGGCAGTTGCAGAATAATGGCAAGAAAGGAATTAAGACTTTGAAAAGAAAACTACATGTGTGATTTGAAGTTGCAGTGAGACTGTTACAAATCCGTTGCAAGGATACGACTAGTGAAGACAGAGAACCCTAGTGTGTATGTAACGGTGAACCGTAAAGTGTGTAGATCAGCGATAGCGCTGTATTACCTGTAGTTCCGAGTTGTGTGAATGTATCAGGTGTAAATACATTCAGTCATTGAGTCCAAAACCGAGTCAATGTGTTGAATCACTTAAATCCGATTTGTTACGTATTACGAAACAATTGTATAGAAAATGTTGATGTAGCCTTGTACAGTTAGGCTACCTGGACATAATTTTGTATATAGATCAGAAATTTCCATGCAAGGAAACATCCTTTTACCCTAGAGAAGTATTCTGAATGGAAAGTATGTCCCAGTTGTTGACACTGAAGGCAGAAGGCTCTCATAAAAAGCATGACATGTTTTCCTTGATTTTCCTGTTCTCCCGAGTGAAGCAGTGGTTGGCACAAGCTGCGTGTTATGGCAGAGAGCGGCGTGTTTCAGGAAGTGCAAAACAAAGCTGGTCTTTTTATGTTTCTTATAAGGACACGACTGCATCACGGAACCTGTCAGCTGACATTACGTTTTCTTGTATACTTTCTGCTTTCCTGTACGATGGCGATTTAGAGGCCTTTGTGTACTTTAAGGCGTAACAGTGGACATTTACTGCGGGCATCTTTTTGCGCTCTGTAGTGTCGACACTGACAGCGCCCTTAAAGAACCACCTAAGAAGGCTACAGACGTTAGCATTGACAGAGGAAAAAATGAAGACTTGAATGCCACACGGGAAGACCTCGTGAGTTGACATATTTGCCACTCATCGACTGTTACTGTCTTTCTTATAGCCTGTCCGTAGTCTAGAGGTAACGTTCCCACCTCATGACTCGTAGTACGCGGGTTCAAAAACCCGGCGGAGGTCGTCGAATTTTTAAGGGCGGAAAAATTCAGGGAACAAGTCCTCGGGGAGGGACTTTAAGCTGTGTGTCCCGTGTCGTAACTTTACGGCACGTAAAAGAACCTCATATCCCCAAAGGGGATCACTGAGCCAAATTCCAGGACGTTTCCCGCCCAACAATAGTCTCTAAGGCCTCTGATAGATGGGGGAAGCATTATAGACACCGCTAAGCAAGTGGCCGAACTCGCTTGCTCGGCGGGACTGATGGTACGCACAATTTATCGGTAGGGTAAAGAGACTGGTAGAATATCATAGAGGGAAGCACAATAGATCAAACTGGTCGCGGTGCATGGGGAAACCCACCATCTCTAAATAACTAACTAAGTTTTTTTAGGGGTTGGGTAAGACTGAGTCCATTTGGTACGTCGGCTACTTTTGGGCCTATTGTACCAGCCCCGGACGTTACATAATGAGTGTGGAGCAGTCGGTGGAATGAGAATTGGCGGGAGAAACCGAAGTACTCGGAGAAAACCTGCCCCAGCGCCACTTTGTCCACCACAAATCCCACTTGACCAGACCCGGGGTCGAACCCGGGCCGCCGCGGTGGGAAGCCAGCGACTAACCGCTTGAGCTATGGCGCGGCCCAGGACTTCCTAACTTATATGTTAAAATGAAGGTTTGATAACAAAGCTACTTTCCCGCTCCCTACGTCACAAACAGGCGAGTCGAGGTGCCATTAAATCGTGGCTCTGTTATGGATAGGGATATCAGAATGAAAACCTGTTGGTAAGTAGGGGAACTAGAGGCTTTCCATTCATGTTAATGCTACAGTCGATGTAAGTGTTAACACGATTTACCCTCTTATGGAAGAGCCCTCTTGAATGACCTTGAAGCAACACACTGGGCTCCATTAATACAATAAAAATGAAAGGATGTAAGCCTGATCTGCCTTCAGGTTATTCGTCTACAGGCTTGCAGAGATTGCACAGTTTTATTCACGTGCGTCATGCAATACCGACTCCGCTGCTGTGAATAATTAGCCCGCCCTTTCTTGTTGGCCGTGTATCTTCTTTTGTGCTTTCATCGGTCACGCTTTGCCATAATACGCAGCATCTGTTGCCGGTTTTTTTATGGTGGTAATGTTATCAGGTGAATTATACGCCACAGTGATTACATGAAATAGTGGGTCACGGCACAGCACAACACGACGTCTGTATGCTAATTTGCTGCGTAACGGCTGTCTGTAATTGGGCATCACAGTTCTGCATTATGGGCTTTAGATGTTTATATTCCTGTGTGGCGAGGTGTTTCATGACCTATTTTTGTCTCCTAGATACATAGATGGCCGATCACAGTGGTCGCGCGGTCTAAGGCATGATGAACTGTTCTTCGTCTGCTCGAGCATTGGGATCGTGGCTTCGAATCCCACTCGAGGCATGGATGTCTGTGTGCGTTTATTGTGTGTGTTGTTCTTTGTGTAGGTAGCGGCCTTGCGACGGGTTGATCCCCCGTCCAAGGAGTCCTACTGACTGTGTATAGGATTAAGAAACTGAAGAAACAGCCAAGGACGAACAAAGGGATGTCGATAGATAGATATGTGACTATTGCGTTGCTTACTGCAGAATACAAGCACTGCAGGAAACGATCATGGAACTGTCGTTGAACATCAAATTAGGCGTAAGACTCGTGATCTGTTAAAATGCAAGATCTGCAAAGAAAGATAGGTACAGGAGAACACAACCTTGATCTAGTCGAATATTTTGAATCTTAAAATAAATCAGATCAAAGAAGCCATCTCACGAATCAAATGGAATGTACAATTCTGTCCCCTGAATTATAATGCAATGTAGTGCGTTGAAATTCAGCCGACGTTTCAGAGTAACATTGCTCCATCTTCAAGGTCTAAGAATAAACCAAGCAAGAAGAGCTCTACTTGCCATCTCTTTTCACACTGTTTTCTTTCTTGGTTTGTTCTACC